TAAAAGGGAAACGAAATACAACTAACGACGTGGGTACAGAATACAGAGCCCCCAAGATCAGCAAAATAATACATCAAAAATACAGGTAGGCAACAAATCAATTAACAAATCTTTGATTAGAAGAGATGTTATGGATTGATATTTTATTTTTTTTTCAACTTCTTCCAAATTTTATACTTACACATAATTTACTTGATTTCAACTTAAAGAATAGAGAAATTATCTTTAAAGAAAAAACTGCTACTCAATTCAACCAAAAAAAAAAGGAAAAGAGTAACAAATAAGTAACGAAATCAAAATAATTGAGGGTTTTTGTCAAACCTTTGTCGTGCAAGCATTCTACGTGTCTTGAGCACATGGGTTTTGTACCATTGTCAGTTTGAATGCTTGTGGTGATGGTCGAATAAGGGCCGGATGCTTCATGAAAGCAGGACCTAGGGCATCTAATTTGTATTGGTAGACGAGCGACTTTTTTGTGTGATATAAACAAAGATCGTAACTTCTCAGTAACTAAGAACAGTCTGTGCCCAGTGGACGGTGGCATATTTGTCTGGATCCAGATTCCATATCGTCTTATAGATCACAATTCATGATGCCCACGGGCCCACATCAACTGCCCAAAAATACTACTAGTAGCCAAGAACCCAGTGACTTAAAACCTATCAAGAATCAAATAAGGCAGCCCAATAAGCCTGGGACAAAACAGTAACAATAGAAAGTTAGTAATGTCTAATTATTTAAATAATTTAATAATAATTTTTTAATAAAAATAATAAATATTGAATCTGAATTACTAAATATACATGAATAAAGTGAGTTAAAAGAATTAAAAAAAATATTTTTTATTATACAATTAAAATAATAATAACGATCCACGAATTGTTGATTTAAATAAAAATAAATTCGATTCTTCTCCATCAAAATATCAAGTTTAAATTTTTTAAATAAAAAAATAAATATTAAGAGAGGATACAGGGCAACCAATATAAATTTCCGATATCGAAAGGTGAAAAAAATAAATAATAGTAAGAAAAAATGTTGACCTTCGAGCTTCAAGTCTTCAGCAGCCCAATAAGAAGTGAAAATACCAAAAAACCAAGCAAAGTGGCAGGGCAGCGGTGTAATTTTGATGTTTTGCTCGGCACGATGTCGCCATTAGTAGGAGGTTAGGCGCAAATGTTTGCAGGGAGTCTATATTCCCGCCAAATATCCGTAAAATTCATTTCAAGTTTTCCATCTCCGCAAAATCTCCCTCTCCGATTCTAAGAAATCGAGATTTGTTTGATAGGAAAGTTCCTGCATCATGGTTTTGAAGTGAATCGAGCTAGCGTTTCGGATTCGCCATACATTTTCTAGGTAATTTCAATTATTTTGATTGCATTTAAAGAAGTTGAACTTGAATTTGCTAGAAAATCAAAACCACAGATCTGTACGAAATGGTTAACCCTGTCGAGCTCGATTTATCAGAAGAAAATTTTTAATCGCAATTAATTTGATGGATCTGCAAATAATTCGAGCCTTGTTAGTGTTCTCGGAGGATCAGTCGTTCTACGCTTCATGTTTGTTTAAGAATTACGAAGGATATGGATTTTGGATTTCGGAAAACGGCAAAAAAAAAAAAAAAAAATCTCCGGCGAGCACTATAGAGATTTTTGCTGTGACGATCTTGATATTAACTGTTAATTCTTTGCTTGCCTCAGATTGTCAACAAGCAAGTTTCACCATGGATTCTTATTCGTTGAAATCTGTCTTGGATTTACCGGAGCCTTTCCGTTCAGTTTTTAGTTTCAGGTAGTTTTCATTTTGATCTGAAATTTACGAAGAATTGATGCGGTGATTTTTTGCCTACTAGTGGGACTTGTATTTTTTTTTTTTCTCAATTTTATTTATATTAGCTTCATTTTGATTAAGTTACTACTAGTATCAAAAGTGATTAAGGAATTTCTCTAGATTTTAAGGTTCTAGGCCTTTTTTTTTTTTTGAAAAAAAAAGAGGCAGAATGGTCTTATATGGTTTTCTTTGTTGAGATGCTACTTAAATCTACCTAGTGATTGTGTTTTTTATTTTTTGTGCTTTGCAGGTACTTTAATTCACTGCAGAGTGAATGTTTCCCTGTTTGTTTTTACTCCGATACAAACATGGTTATATCAGCACCTACGGGGAGCGGGAAAACTGTGCTCTTTGAGCTTTGCATTTTGAGGCTTCTCTCAAGGTTCCTTTCTGGGGACGGTAGGTTTGTCCATGTAAAGGGCACCCTCAAAACTGTAAGTATCATATTATGTCAGCAATTCGTTGTAAATACATGATTCAGGACTCAGCTAAGTGCATGAAGTACCATTTCTTTGATCCTGGAGACCTAGCTGATTTGTTGCTATTATTCTTAGTCCAATTTACCAATTGCAGGTCACATGGTCACCAAATTGCTATTATCTTTAGTGTCTTTTAATACCTCTTTTTGGAGTATAGTTTGTCTGATCTTATTCATTCATTTGATTTGTGTAAGATCTATGTAGCTCCATCTAAGGCTTTAGTGCAAGAGAAGCTACGTGATTGGAACCAGAAGTTTGGGTCATGGGGGATAAATTGCCTGGAGCTGACGGGTGATAATGATTATTACAGCACAAGGAACATACAAGAGGCAGATATTATTTTAACCACTCCTGAGGTGAGTGCATACACTGATATACATGATATGAATAAATGAATGCTTATTGTCAGTGTTTCCAATTTGACTCTAGTTTGAGTATGAATGAACCTACTCAGAATAAATGCATTTCTACTCTCTTGCATAGAAATTTGATGCTGTGACTCGTTATCGCATCAAGGATGGTGGCTTGAGTTTTTTCAGTGACATTGCGCTTCTACTTATCGATGAAGTTCACCTTCTGAATGACCTACGAGGGGCAGCTTTGGAGGCAATTGTCAGCAGATTAAAAATGCTCTCTCGCAACCCTGAAATGAAATCAAGCCCTCTAGCTTCTATCCGTTTTCTAGCCATTTCAGCAACCATTCCAAATATTGAGGACCTTGGTAAAATTTCTCTTCTTCTTCTTCTTCCTTCCTTTTTTTTTTTTTTTTTTTTTTTTTGCTAATGACTTAGCATGACTAGGTTTTGAACTTTATCTTCAAATGATGGACATGTTGGAACTCCTAACAACCTATGGCATTTTTCCACAGGGGACTGGCTTGAGGCTCCTGTTCAAGGAATCAAAAGGTGCTTCTATGTCATTATGTAATGGATGTCTTTTCCTCTCTTGATTGCTGGTAGTGTGTTATCTTATTCAGCTTTCTGATGTTTCAAAAGGTTTGGAGAAGAAATGCGACCAGTAAAGTTAACTACCAAAGTTTTTGGTATGCTTGGACAAAGATATTTATTTCTCAAAACCATCTTTCTCCCCAGTGCGTTACTCTGACGAGCAAATACCTTCTTGCAGGCTACGCCCCAGCAAAAAATGACTTCTTATTTGAAAAGGCAAGCATTTGTGAATGGATGATAATAAACCTTGTTTTTATTTTAGTATTATAATTTTATGGATTGGAAAGAAAAATATGACAAAATCTTTCTTCAACATTGTCTAATTTTTCTGACTGTTTCTACTTTCTTTCGGTCTCATTATTCAGCGCCTTCAAAACTATATTTTTGGTAAGCAGGAGCTTCTAAACTAACTTCTTGTTAAAGATTTCTTTAATCATTTCTGTTCTATCCACCAAGGCATTCTTCTATGCCGAACCATGAAATCTACTTATGAATGAAAGTGATTTCCAGATATTTTGATGCAATTTTCAAGGGGGAAATCTGCTCTGGTTTTCTGTTCAACAAGGAAAGGAGCACAAGAAGCAGCACAGAAACTCTCTCAAACAGCAATGGCTTTTGGTTATTCAAACCCTTTTATCAAAAGTAAAGAACAACAGGAAAGACTGAGGGAGGCCTCGCTATCATGCAGTGACAAACAAATGCAATCTTATATACTTTATGGAGGTATAGATTTAACTTATTCTGCTATACTACTCTTTATCTGGTAATCATAAGTCAAGTTGACCTGCTTGCAGTTGGTTATCACAATGGTGGGCTTTGTCAAAGGGATCGTAACCTTGTTGAAGGCCTTTTCCTTAACGGTGATGTCCAAGTTCTTTGCACTACAAATACCCTTGCTCATGGAATCAACCTGCCAGCTCATACGGTAGTAATAAAGTCAACACAACATTTGTATGTAAAAGTGTTTTCCTGGGCAAAAGAAACTTATTTTCATTGGTAAAGAATTAAAAGAGAATCTATTGATTCTTTTCTGAATATAATTCTCCATAAATAATATTTCAGCAACAAGGAAAAAGGCCTTTACATGGAGTATGACCGGTCCACAGTACTACAGGTCTGTCATTTGTCTGGAGATTTTATGAAATGACTAATTGTATTAGATTACAAAGTGTTCCTGGAGTTTAGTGTTAGTTAAGATATTATTAGAGCCTCCTTATACATTTCAAATTAGTTTTGATACTTTATCCTCACATCTGTCCTATATTGAAAGTTAATTTGGCTCATAAATGGGCTCTCAAAGATCTTGTCCTCCTCAACTGCTGGATGAATTAAGCTTTTTTGGGTATATGTTGACTTGGAGAGTTTGCATTCATCCTGGTCTCTACTCATCCAGTTTTCAGCTGTGACCAATAATAACCAGAAACATTCTACTGTTGAATAGTTAACGTTTGTCATACTCCTTGTGCCTCTCCTCAACAGAGGAAAAAGAAAGAAAAAATTTCCTATAACTGCATGTGTGTCCATATTCCGAAGTTTTTATTGTATTACGATACTTAAACTAGTCAGTTCTCATGCAGATGTGTGGAAGGGCAGGTCGGCCACCATTTGTTGATACAGGAACGGTTATAATTATGACAAGAAGAGAAACGGTAATCAAAAGCTTCCTTTCGTGCTTTCCTCATTCCTTGCATATTTCTTTTCCATCATGCATTTGATCCCACTTTTCTGATTTTGGCATGAACTTAGGTCCATTTATATGACAATCTCTTGAATGGATGTGAAATGGTGGAATCACAGTATGTCTGCAATCTCCAATCCCAAAATTAGATTATGTGTCCTTTACTTTATTGTATTCTGTGAAAAACGCTGCAACTCTTCTAATTTTGTGCTTCCTATTTTCTTACTGATGTAGATTGCTTTCATGCTTGATGGAACACTTAACTGCAGAAATAGTTCAACTGACCATCACTGACATCACAAAGGCAATTGAGTGGATGAAGTGCTCATTCTTGTACATTAGAATGAAAAAGGCATGTATATGGCTATTGTTTGAAGGATATGATCACATTTTCTTTTAATGATATTTCTGAGATGTCAATGCAAAGCAGAACCCAGAGAATTACGCAGTTAGAAAAGAGACACCAAGAGCCCGTATAGAGAAGCATATGCAAGGTAACAAAATTCTGGATTGAATGATTAAGTCCATTTTTCCATTTGCACCGCTAATCAACATCATACCTTATCAGAGATCTGTGTTCAAAATGTTAATGAGTTATCACATCATCAATTGATTCAGACTGATGAAGATGGTTTTGTCTTGAGGCCGCTAGGTAAATAAACTCATTAAGAAGTATCTTTTTAGCTATTGTGAAGGACAAACAATTTATTAATTTCTCATTTTCTTTGTTTGATATTTGCAGAGCCAGGAAGGTTGATGACCAAGTACTACTTGAAATTTGTCACCATGAAACTCATAATGCAAGCACCAGCATACTGCAGTTTAGAAGATATACTACACACTATATGTCGTGCTGAGGAAATTGCTTGTAAGTGAATACATCTTGTAGTTATGTTATGTATCCTGCTAATACTTGGAAAGAAACTATATAAGCAATGTTTTGACTTGAAATGAAGGGATCCAGCTAAGAAGGAATGAGAAGAAGCTTCTGAATGACATAAATACCGATAAAGGTGGCCGTCTTCGCTTTCATGTCACTGGTGATAAAGGAAAAAGGAAAAAGCGTATTCAAACTAGAGAAGAAAAGATATTTGTTTTGACAAATGACTGCTTAACTGGGGATCCTTTAGTTCATGATTTATCCATGACCCAGGTTTTGTTTCCACATTTCAATATATGCTCAATATATAGTGTCTTATAGTTATTAATGACTATGCATGGCTGAACCAATTAAATTGTTAACTGGGGTGTTTATTGCAGGATGTGAATTCGATATGCTCAAATGGGTGTAGAATTGCCAAGTGTATGAAAGAGTACTTTCTATATAGAAAGATTTACAAAGGAGCCCTGAACTCATCCCTTGTAGCCAAGTCACTATATCAGAAACTATGGGATGATAGCCCATACTTACTGAAACAATTACCCGGCATTGGAATGGTGACCGCAAAGGTTTTCTTTGTTCACTTTTTTATTGATGTTAGAAGACTGGCTGGTTGTGTTATTAGTTGTAGTACATTTTGGTGATTCAAAACCCCCGATCCCCTCTCCCTAATGCTTTTTCCAGGCACTGCATTCAATGGGAATTAAATCATTTGAGTCACTAGCTGGAGCTGATCCAAGAAGAATAGAGGTAGTCACTGGTCGGAAGTACCCATTTGGGAACCATATCAAGGAATCTCTACTGGCACTCCCACCAAAAGTTAATATGAAGATTGAGGAAATTGAATGCCAGAGACAGGGAAAGTCCAAGCTTGCATTAATGTTGACAAGGGTCTCAGAAGCAATCCAATCAACTAAACGACACTATGCTGATATGGTATGTCATCTAGGATTCTAGGATTTGGCGGTGGCCACTTCTTCAAACTTTAGAGGTGCAGTGTTAGAGCTATACAAGCATCCTAAGAAGCATTCATTTTCCAGATTGTTGGATCAGAAGAAGAAAACTTGATTCTCTTTCATGAGAAAATAAGGTGCTGATCTCTTACTGGATTACATTTGATAGCTCACTAATACTGATTCAAGCATTATGCCAAGGGATTTCTTTGAACACATTTCTTTTTGCTGCACAAATTAAGCTATTTTTGAGCCAAAAAAAAAAAAAATTCAGGTTTATCATGGATGATTGTTGTACAAGTGTTGATCCCTGGATATAATGCTTGATTCTAGATAGCATTCATGGTTTTTCCATCATCCATAGACTCTTTAACTCTCTAAATTGGTGTAGCAGGGTGGATGAGTTTTCCAGGTAACGCAAAACTTACTCACTTTCCTTATGTTGTAGATTAACATGGAAAAACATCAAGACAGCTTATTGCTACATGTAGACTTGCATGAGATTATCAAGTTATGAGAAAAAAAAAATTGAAACATCTGCATTTGGTGTGAATAAAAATCATCATAATGATAGAAATGATTGATTAGTGGAATGAAATCTAGCCATTCCCAAAAATAGTCATTTTAATGTAAATGGCAAGCATACCATAAAAATTTCAAAATGATAGAAAGAATGACCATGGAGCTTAATTACCTTGGAAAAGGAATCACCTCATGTTGCTAGATCACTCGGTTTGTCAACCATTATCTTTTCAGTAGAATATATTGCCAGCCACCTGTGTCTTTCATCTGATCTCACTGTGAGAGGCTGAAGAGTTTGGTTTTCTTGCAGCCCCTATAGCACGACAATTTTCATATCAAACCCCTTTGAAAGGTTGACCGTGAAGGCAGATCTTATTTTTGAAGAATACAGTTAAGCTTCTGTTATGATATGCGAAATTTCTGCAGTTTGGTACATATTGTCATGAATTTTGCAGTTGTTAGATTTATTTTGTCGTGTTGAACATGCAGTTGGCCTAGATCTCCACCAAAAACTTTTGCTGGTTAAGGACAATGATCCAAACACTAATAGTGAACACGGGAAAAAACTGCCTCGTTTTTCTGTTCCACCTGAGAAATTATGTAGCAAGGAAGATGATACAGCTGCTGCTACATCTCTAGATCCGGCTCAAAAGCCTCCTGTTAAATCCAATGAGATCTCTTTAATGTAAGTGTTTAGTTACTTGGATCTTAATTTCCATAAATTTTTCCTGCTGGTCAGCATCATTCTATAATACCTAAAAGGGAAAAAAAACAAAAAAGCATTTACAGGTATTTATTTGAGAAAGATTCACCAATTTCTCTTTTATAACAGGCCCAGTTTCAACCTCTTGGATGAAGAGATGGGAGAATGTATGGCTTAAGATCATGTCCTGTGCAATTTTATTTGATTTTCTAGAACATTTCTTCCTTTTCAGGCTTTATCAATCACAAATCACTGCAGGTGAGCCTGCTGCAGATAATGAAGATGACGATTGCAAAATCATCACCAAACAAACAATATTCGACCACATTCGTGAAAAAGCTAAGAACTTTCCTCTCTTGACTACATCAAACGGTGCAAGTTCTCCAACATCCAGTACTTTGACTATCAAAAGAAAGTGCCCTGTTGAGGTGCACCTTGAACTCTGTAACGAACAGGATAATCTTGAAGAAACAAATAAAAGCGAAACCCGTCAACAGGTTGTGCTGAACCCTTCTCCAGAACCCAGAGAGTCAGGACATGATGTAGATACCATCAACAATTACCTTACCACAAAGCATTATATAAGTACTGCTGGGAGCTCAGGTACCATGAATCTCTCGGAGATTTGGTTGCATTTTCTACGAGATTTATGTACTTGATTACCATTCTTATCTACCTGCATGGCATCGGCCGAAATTGTTTTTGCCATTTCAGATCTTCAATCGGAACCTGAGGAGACAACATTCAAAACATTGACAGAAAAAACAATATTTGACCACATCCGGAAAAAATCAGGGGATTTTCCGGTACTGAATACTCCGAAGCCCATTCAGACTGACTCTCATATCTGGGCAAAGGAACAACACATTAAGAATGAGACTGAGTCCTGTGGTTCTGCTTCTAAAGCCACGGATTCTAGCAAATTCCTGAGAGATGTTATGATCATTTCAAAACGGGAACCTGGAGAAGTCAGCAGGGACTTTTTTAGTAGCCAGGCATGCAGAAAGGCCAAGCATGAATTTGCTGAAAGTTTCAATGGAGCACGTGGAAGATCAAATGTCTCAAGCACCAAGGCTGATCCCACATCGATCAAAATGCTGTCCTTTGATATTTCAATGATGAAGAACAATATGCAGGTGGCAGAGTTAGGAAGGTCCATGGAAGTCGACCGGAGAGGGAAGTGTTCTGAAAATGGTTCAAAAAGACAGTGCTGTTCATTGGCATCTGCGGACAACACCAAGGAAGTAGATTCGTTTCTTGGGTTTCAGAGTGTTTTTTCATTTCTCTGATTTCTTGTTTGCCATACTATCAAGGTAGTGTCACAATATAAACTTTTAAACTTTAATTGTTCATTTGTCCCTAAACTGAGCAAGAAAGAGACAAGATAATCTTGAATTTGTGCTAAAATTACCCCCAGGGAAAAAAGAGAGAATAGTAAAGAAAGTTGCGTTCATTTTTTGAGTAGTGTGTTCCATGTAGAAAGAACTTCAAAAAGAATCTTGTACTGATATGTTGTGGGCCCTCCAGCCCAAAAACAGTATCTTCATAACCATTATTACTGCATTGAGCCATGTATCTGTAACTATAAATAAAACCATTTTCTGGTTGGGTCAGTGTCTTCTTGCCCTGGAATTAATGTCTCAAAATAGTCGTATTACCCTTCCTCCATGGGCTGTCGGCCCACAGGTTAGCCCTTGGATCACCTTCTCAAAGAATGTTGTTTGGACCTCGGAACTAGGCCGCTACAAACGACGCATGTCTCCCATGCACATCATCCGCGCCCTGCAATCCGCCACGTTACGTTATTCTCTTCCCCTTTCCTTTTTTGGGGCCAAAATTCATTTTCCATTTACCTAACCTTTTTCTTGACATTATTTTCTTCACCTTCCTGAGGCTTCCTTTTTCCTCGAATTTTCACTCTCTCCAAAGTCCAAACACCCCAGAGGTATGTAAGACAATTCCATTTGATATTTCGATTTTCCTTAATTTCTAGCATCACACTCTTCTTTATATGTTTATAAAAATGGGTGGGGTTCTTCAAAGGGTTTCCTTCTATTTGGATTAATGTTATTGACAAAATAATGATGTTTAGCATGTGGAATTTGCAGGGAGAAAAAAAATAAAAAATGGCAGGTCCACATAGGATTGGACATGCAGTTACCCAGGGGCCTAATGTGGTGAAAGAGATCATTTATGGGATAACTCTGGGTCTAATTGCTGGAGGATTATGGAAGATCCATCATTGGAATAACCAAAGGAGAACTAAGGAATTCTATGATCTGCTAGAGAAGGGTGAGATCAGCACTGTGGTTGAGGGGGAGTAGAAAATCATCAATTTTCATTTCCCAACATTTTAAAGAATAGATAGATAGATAGATAGATAGATAGATAGAGGGCTACCATTAGAGACCCATGTCCAAGTTGTCTCAATCTATATATATTCTAAATCAATTAACATGTTAGAACTGTTTTCTACTTAGCCATGGAATGGATGAAGCTACCAAACATTCTTGGCTTTTCCTTCTGTTGATGGCAAATTTTGCTTTGTACTATATTAATGCTCAATAGTTAGAGAAACCGTAGCTCTCCCTATCAATGAATTAAAGGCTGGCTGCCAAAGGATCCATATGTGCAAATTATAACCATATATGTGATCCACATGGCATGTAAAGAATGCATACCATGCACTGTGGATTGAAATTTGAACCACAAATTAGGCAGTTAGAAATCAAGTGGAAAGTTCCAAAAACATTAACATCAAGTGGTGTAACCCAATGTTTCAAATCATTGTTCTGTTACTATCAAATTGATAATATGGAGAGGAAATTGCTTTTTGAAGTCAATTTCAAATAAATGCTTACAAATTTTGAAAGAAATCAAATGAATGAGTTGAGCAACTTGGTCCCTACCAAACCTCCACAAATCACAGAAGGTTTTCTTTGTTTCTTCTTCTTCTTCTTCCTTTTTTTTTGTTTGAGCAACAAGAAAATAGATTACAGTTGGTTTTTGGTACTACTTGTTACTGAATTTTTAGGGTTAATTCAAGGACAAGGAAAAAGAACCCTCCAAAAAAAAAAGGATGGGATGGAACACAAACATGTCCATGGTCAGTTTGCGAATTATTGCTCACAAAATTCATGTTATTTTCAATAAAAAAAAAAAAAGAGAAAAATATCTACACTTAAAATAGGGAAGAAAAAAAAAATCTAAAAAAAATTTGAGGTGTTCGTGTAGGAAACTTCCCTGTGACAGACAGTTATGTCAAATAACATTAGAATCTATGATGCCCTGCGTTTGTGCAAAAACATCCCATTTCCAATTGATTTGAGTTCCATGCACGCTTCAGGGAGATCAACCATCATTCCTGTTTTCTTTCCCCAAAAAGTGGTACCCAAACTTCAATTCATTAAACTACTTCTGCAATGATTCTTAACTTTTTGAGGCCTGATCATATAAGCTGTGATTGCTTGATGAGACAGAGGAACTGCAACAGGCTTCGATCTTCCTAGCCGCGCTTGAGATGAAACTGTCTGTGCTATAAGACCTTACGGAGCTGCCTGATGGATCTAGGAGGCCAGCATTCAAGAATGGAGGCTGACTAGGGAAAGGGATTTCACAATCTCTATTAGTCAGCATCTGAACTACTTCTGCCATTGATGGTCTTAAAGCTACTGAAGCCTGTGTGCAAAGCAACCCTATTTGAAGCACCCTGGATGCCTCTTTTGCCACTGAATCATCTCTTATCCGAGGATCAACTGCTTCAGCTAGAGTATTTAATTTGTACAGTCTCCAAACCTGAGATCAAAATGGAAAGTTTCTCATGTCATAATACTTCTTATCTCCTTTCATTTAAGGAGGAAATCAAAAAGAGAGAGGGAGAAATTTGGGTCTTACTGTCTGTAGAAGGGTAGAGGAGTCCTTTGTGAAGGCAGAATTCCTTTTTCCACAAGCAATCTCGAGAATGAGTACTCCAAAACTATAAACATCTGCTTTCTCTGTCAGTTGTCCACGAACAAGGTATTCTGGAGCCATGTACCCCCTGGAATGCATCGCCATTTGCTTTCATGTTACTTAACTATAAGCACTTAAGCAGCATCATATACAATTAAGGAAGTTCCATTTTTGCATTGCATAGAGGGTATTATCAATTCTAATTCTTTAAGTACCAATTCCCGTCCCATCAAATTATCCTATTCCAAGTAACAAGGCCTTGATCTAATAGTTAATGAACAGACTGAAATCCTAAAGAGTTCCAGATTCGAGGTTTCCCACCTCATATATTGTGGAATGTAGAAAACATGATCTTGCTTCAAGCAAATAGCAATCAAGAACAAACCATACTTCATTCAAATACCAAACGCAAAGAATAGAGGAATACAATTAGTAAATGTCTAACTGTACTTACAGTGTTCCAGCAACTCCAGTGCTGAGATGGGTCTTATCCGCAGCCAGACACCTAGCAAGTCCAAAATCGGCAATCTTTGGGGTGAGATCCTCATCAAGAAGAACATTGCTGCTTTTTATGTCCCTATGGATTATCCTTACTTGAGAACCCCCATGAAGATATGCAAGACCCTCAGCTGTTCCCACAATGATATTAAACCTCTGCTTCCAGCTTAAAAGCTTAGATTTCTTGTCATCTACATAAGTGAAAAGCATAATACACCACCATTCAAAACATTTCCCGACTTCCCAAAGCAGAAAACTAATGTGAAACCATGTAAAGATCAAAACTCTACCAAAAATGAAGTGATCCAGGCTCCTGTTTGGTACATACTCATAAACCAGGAGACTTTCAGGGCCCTCAATGCTGCAGCCAAGAAGCTGGACCAAATTCTTGTGCTGAATTCCACTGATCAAGTTTACCTCATTGAAGAACTCATCCACCCATTGCCGGGTATTGAAAATCAGTCTCTTCACCGCTACTGTTCTTCCATTAGGAAGAATCCCCATGAACACAGAACCAGCTCCTCCTTGGCCTATTTTCCTTGGAAGGCTAAAGTAATCAGTGGCCTTTTCGAGTGTTTCGTACTTGAAATTCAAGCTTGATTTGTTGAAGCTCGTCAAAATTATCCGGTGTTCTTGGCAGTACCGAAGAAAAGGAATTTAGATACATTAAATGCAGAATTCTCTGTTAAAAGAAAGAAATCTTAGAATATCTACCTCTTTTCATCCTTGAAAATCTTGTATAGGCAGCATAAGTTGCAGCGCATAAGAGCATGGAGAATGCAATTGTTGCTAAAGCAATGGCTGAAATTACCTTAAGTTCAGAAAATCCTGAAAAAAAAAGGGGGGGCGAAGAATTTTGATTTCTGGGTTTTAGAATTCTGAGAATTTTAGAAGGAAAAAGTATTGAATCAAAGCAATTTAGAAATTTGATTTTTGAAAGAACAGGATTTGCTTTTACCATGGCCATGCCCTGTATCTCCGCTGTCGTTATAGAACTTTTCCGTTGAGTACCTTAGGTAACATCCAGCATTCATCCCCCTCCCTTCTTTCTTCGGCGGGCAGCCTTTCACCGCCTTCGCTGCCTTGTCCAAACACTCTCTGCAGCCCTCAACAGAGAGACTGTCCCAACACTGCGCCAGTGCATAGACTCCCTCCGCTGCAACAATCCCGAACCCTCCATTCCTCAACGCAATCGCAGTCACATTCCCCACCGCGTAACCTACATTCCGAACAAAACCCACCCGATCTTCACCCATAAGTGAAACGTTTTCCACGCTGCAATTCACGGAATCGTAAGTGGAAGAGACGGACTCGCGGTAGAAACTGTAGTTATCGTAACGTAAGAAGCATCCATCGAGGAAGATGCAGGCGGAGAGTGAAGGGAGACAGCGGGGGAGGCGAGTCCTGGCGTTAGCGTAGCAGAGGAGGCAGTCAGTCTGGGACAGGTCGTGGTGGCACTGGACGAGCGCGTACAGGGGAAACGCGAAGGTGCGGTCGAGGTGGTAAGTTGCGAAGTGGCGCGTGGTAATTAATTGCGAAAGGTTCTGCATTTCCTTAACGAAAGAAGGGACTAAGCTGACAAGGCCTGGCGGCTGAACTGAAGCACCGCAGAAAAGGCCAGAAACAGAGATTCTCGGGTCGGAAATTGAGCTGGAAATGAATAAAAAGAAGACAAGAAAGAAAACCCATGTCCGCCATGGGAGCTTCGTGGTGGAAAAATGCATGGATTGCATGCTTAGGTCTCTGATCTTTCCCCGGATTCAGGGGAGGAAGAAGATAAAGAAGAGGAGATATGCGAAAAAGAATAATTAGAAGGGAGGCGATGTTGGACCCTGTTCAGTGTCGTTGTTGTAATGTTGGTGAGTTGGCCTGTGGACTTAAATGCATTCGGTTTATACTTCAATTTCTGCTTCTTCATGGCTTTCCCTTGAAAAGTTGTCCCATCATTTTTGTTATCTTTTTTTTCTTCGAGATGGCCGACACAGTTGGTAATTGGTTTAATGAGAAATTCTTTTTGTATAATTTTTTTATTATATTTTTTTATATAATTTAATGTAATATTAAAATAATTAATTTTTTTAATTTATGTAAAATTTATGATATTAAATATATCAACTCATTTAATAATATG